TTTATTATTTTTGATAAATAAAAGATAGTTTTATATTTTATTATTTTCGGTAAATAAACAATATTTTTATATTTTATTATTTTCGGTAAATAAACAATATTTTTATATTTTATTATTTTYGRTAAATAAAMGATAKTTTTATATTTTATTATTTTCGGTAAATAAACAATATTTTTATATTTTATTATTTTCGATAAATAAATTATAATAATATAATATAACCATAATACTCGGGTCGCATTATTGATATTTCTACTTATCGCTTCTTTACGTTACGGCGCGCCGACAGTCGAATTTTGGGCCTGGCGAGAAACTCAACTGAAACGGGCTGGGCGACGAACGTGTTAATATTTTTAATTGTTTAAGCTGAATTATATTTGTTTTATCGCTCCTGCGCAGTGATGTCTTTATTATTAGAATTTGGTTAATAATAAATTATTCCGTTTCTATAAAATATTTTAGGTAAAAGTATTCAGCACTTAATGGGTTAAACCTTTGCATTCGAAGTTATATTTTTCATTTGAAATATTACTTTGAGTAATTTACAAAGTAATTTCAATAGAAATAAATCATATTCATATATTATAAATAAATGCCATATGCGTAATTAATAAAATAAATCATATTCACGTATTATAAATAAATGATATATGTTTAATTAATAAAAGAAAAATCATATATATGCAGTCGATACGTTGTAAATTGAATAGAATTTGTTTCAATTTCTTTCTTTTTTCTTTTTATTGTCAAAGCCCTCGAGTGTAAAAAGGGTTAATTATTTTGTCGTAAATAAAATTAAACGTATCCACGAAAATATAAGATAGAAAATTTCTCATATTTACGAGCAAATATTTGGAAAAAGTTTTTTGATCGTAGAAAATGAATCGAAACTTCGAAAGAATGAACTTTGGTAAAGTTTCTGATTAAAAAAAAAAAAAAAAAAAAAACAAACAAAAAAAAAGAAAGCATTAGATTCGTCTCGACGGGTGGGAAGGTGAGAGAGAAGGTAGAGAAAGAGAAGAGGAAAGGAGGAGGGGGAGGGGGAGAAAAACATGTGGACTGTAGCAGTACATAAAAAATGGGTCACGCTTTTATTGACAAAACCGTGCGTCGTCGTAGCGAGGCATTAAGATTATCATTTGTGTTCTTTTTTTTTCATTTTTTTCAATTTTTTTTTTAACGTTCTAACATAACGAATAGAATGTTTCGTCGTTATTTCAGTGATTTAAGTTATGTAAGTTATTTAAGTTCACTTCCTATACGCATGTGCATATTATTTATTCGTATGTGTAAATTTAATGAAACAAATAAAAGGAAAATTCGATATATTATCGTAGATAAACCGAAAGGTATTATCGTGATGAAACAAATTTAAAGGTAGAGGATGAGGAGGAGAAAAAGGTGATGGAGAATGTGGTGGAGGGTTTTTATAATTATCCTCGGATTCACATAAGAGAGAGAGAGAGGAAGAAAAAGAGAAGCAGAGTTTACTAGTATGTTGTAAACGTCGATGCACTTCGTTAAATTGAACGATCGGAATAATAAAAGGTTAAGCTCGCTGAAGATAGACGATCGATTGACCTAAAATCGCTTTTTATCGTATATTACGATCTCGAATAACGAGAAAGGATGTTGGACAGTCGCGACGCGTCTAATTCGAGATAACGAAATAGAAATAAAAGGTGCAAAATTCAATCGTATCTAATAGAAATCAAATAAAATCAAATTTTTAAGTTATTGCGAACGAATCAAATCGAATCGAAATGAAATGCAACGATATATCGTTTTATTAATTAATGTCAATTGAAACATCTTATTGAAATATAGCGCGTACGTTAATAGATACTTACATTTCGTAACCGACGATGTACCGGCACTGCTACCTTGTTTCTTCAAAGTGTTGCTCTTGATGCAAATCTTTCCACGTATATTTTTATCCGGTTGGAAGACGATTATATAAACTTTGGGAGCGTAAAGACATACTAGGGTAACCGATGCGCTTAAACTAATCGCAACACAGAGTGTCGTGATTTGGGTCTCGTGAGCGTTTCCAGTTCCAAAATAAATGGGTACGAAACCGAGCCAGATAATACACGTGGTGTACATTGTGAAACCGATGAATTTACTTTCGTTAAAGTTTTCCGGTATTTTGCGCGTCTTAACGGCATACACGGTAGAAACGAGAATTAAAATTGCATTGTATAGTTGAGAGAATAGAAAGCTCATGTCTTGTATGTTGCACTTCAATATGACTTGTTTGCGATCGGGATAATAATATCGAGTACCAGGTGGTTCGACGACCATCCAGATAAGAGTAAGAACGATTTGAAAAGCTATCAGGGCTGCTGCTATGCAAACTTGTGAGGTTGGACTGATGTAACGTGGTCTAACTGCTGATCTTGATGCTGCATCGAATATCCTAGCTATTCGATTGGTCTTGGTTAAAAGAGCACCGTACACCGCGCTAAAACTAACCCCCACACCGAACCTTTGGAGTACACAGGTAACTGTGGTAGGCCTTACAAGCAACAAAAACGTATTCAAATAGCAGACCAAAACACCGGCCAAAAGTACAACGGTCAATTCTCGTCCAGATGCTCGAACCACTGGAGTGTCCCTATGTTGAAATAGAAGACATGCCACTGCTAAGGTCGCTGCTATACCGAGACACGAGATAACTGCTGGTGCTATCGCGAAAGCGCTGCTCCACTTGATATGCTTCACCGGTAAATCATAGCAACCCCTTTTATCCGCGTGAGGCCACGACCCTGGCCCGCAATCCATGCAGGTGTACTCGTTGTATACAAACTCGTACTCTTCACACTGATCGCACACCCAGCAACAAGTGTCACCCTGTTGCTTCTTTATCATACCTGGCTCGCAGGGTAAAGAGCATGCTGAAATTGGTATGTCTTTCGTTCCTCGTGCCCAAACCAATTCGTCCGTCTGAATGTCCAACGAGTTGTACCATTTTCCAACCACCTGAAATCTTTCTTATTTTTATTCGATATAAACCGAATATATAATCAAATGGAAATTCAATAACGTTACATACTAACATTATTTATTATCAAATAGAAAAATATTAATTCGCGATTTTACGTTTATATTTTAACAAAAAGTAAAATAAGAGATATAAATATAGACATATTACATATAAAATAGTATTTTATTTTTTTTCTTCAACATTACGTTGAAATAACTAAGCTCGATTGTTCTTTGGAATATCGCTTGAGGGCTAGTTAACTATAGCTAATAGGTAACTCTGGTGCTAGGTAGCTTGTATTATTTTCCGTTTGGTAGGGGAAAAGAGGATGGATGGCTTATTGGAAATAAAGAAGATATTCTAGCTCGTAATTAACTTTCTACCGTAGCTCGAATAAATATCGTCTCTGTTGATACGCGCTTTTGTTGAAATATTTGTTTTCAACGGTAATAGCATGTAATTGTACATTAATTGATGCTAATCCGATAAAGTACTTGCCAACAGAATTAAACTACGGCTATTAGCTTTTAAACGGAACGAGAATTTGTATATTGAGAAATAAAAACAAAAAAATAAAAGAGAATAAATGAAGTTAGATTAGATTTAAATCGAATGATTCATCGCGAACGTACACTTACACGATTATACTTGGAAATATATTTATGATTAATCGTAATATCTAGAAATGATAATTTTTTATTAATAAAAAAAGAAAAAAAGAAAGAGAAACAATTCGTGGAAAGTTTCAATAAGGAAACAATAAGAGAGGATGGATAGCTTTCGTCTTGGTTCGAATGGCAAACTTTTATAAAAGTAATTCGAAGAAAGGGAATTAAACGTAGGATCTACAAAACGGTATTCCTCTTTTCTTCGCGAATTTTCAGGAATGTTAATTAATTGTAAGAACGGGAATAAAGGAAAGGAAAAGAAAGGAAAGGAGTTCAAGTAAAAGAAAAACTTTTCTTTTTTATTTTTGTTTTTCTTTTTTTCTTTCTATTTTTCATTAGCATTTTGATACTTGCCCTATAGTGATAGGTGTCGGTACCGCTGAGATTCGATTTTCGAAAATTCAGGATCTCGTATCTTGCCAGGCCGTCACCGTGTTCGTCGAATTTCACCTCGCTGCCAGCGGAGTCTAGAAAATAACTGAAAATCTGAATACCCTCGAGGCTTGGTCCATGAAATGGCAAGTAATATCGCCAAGGTACACTCCGTCAAGCTGCAACGAATGGGTTTTCAAAGTATATCGGTTGAGAAGGATTCTGAAAAGCGGTTATCCTTTTGCGAGGACGAACTTTCAGCATAGAGATAACTCTCTTTATCACCGTGAAAATTTATTTCAGAATTACCTTGAAATTTTGTCATTTCTCATATGTGGAAAATCCATTGCCCACTCTCTGTGTTTGTTTTCCTAACTTCAAATTCAAATTTATTATAATCGAATTAATCGAATTAATCTAATTGTCTAATAGTTTTTCGAATATAAATGAAAATCAATCAAAGAATGTCCTATATCATTCAACGAATCGAATGCACGTGCAGTGATCTTTGATATTCATGGTAAATGGTAATTGGTAATAAACGCTTAGTACACTTGATATCATTAAAATAATGCATTCTTTTTTCTTGTCATATTCTTGTCACTCAAAGAAAAAACAAAAGTAATAAAAAAAAGGGAAGGAGAGAAAAGAAGAAAAGTACGAACAAAAGAAATAAAATTTCATTTAAACCATCCATTAAAAATATTATGACCTGGAAACCTTATCAATTTCGTAGAACTCACTTTTTTTATGTCTACAGAAAAAGAATGATATTATGTCAAATTTATATGATTTGTATCGCTGTATAATAATTAATATTTTAACGAACTATATGAAAGAGTAATTATGTTACTTTGAATAAAACCTTCCAATAAAAAATATCAATTAATATTATCTTGAAAGAATAAAAATAAGAATATAATTACTAAACGTGTGATAAAATCAAACACACGTGTTACTAAAACACGTAATATAAATAGAAAAGAAAAAAGAAATGATATTTTCACACACAAAAGATAAAAAAAAAGCAGATAGACAGAGAAGTTGTAGATCAGAAACGTTATCGTCTTCTTGGATGGTTCATAAAGTATTCCTTTTATCCGAAAATATCGTGGAGAGATGTTCTCGTTCGGTGACCTAAATAGACGGACATCGCGTAACGCAATTTCCTCGTTCTATTGTATTACTCGTGAAGCTAATATAATAGAGTGAGCGAGTCACGCTATGGGAGTCAAAGTAAATCGTCGCTTACTAATTAATCGGTGTGAAATGATTGGTTGAATTATAAAGCCACTACAGTGGCGTCTATTGTCTAAAAGGTTAATAATAATACGAATTTTCACACAAACCTATTGAAATCGAGAAAGGGAAAAAATGAAAAGGAAGAGAAAAGATGGAAAAAGAGAAAGGGTGAGAGAGGATGAGATCAAAGAAAAAGTGAGTCCTCGGAGAAGGATCGTATTCCCTTTATCACCGAAAGTACCTGCACCAACGTGACCTTAATATTTGAGTCGACGTTCTAGGTTGACGATAGCCTAAAAACGCACCTCGGCGAGGAATAAACGCGAGAGCCATTATCTCTTGCGCATTTCGTGCGATATCGTCGCGTGTATACGTTCGTGACACGAATCGATAGTGGTATGTGCCCTCGGATGAGTCCGATCCAATTCGAGATATTCCGTTTAATAATATATCTATATAATCTACTTGCTAACGCATTAAATCAACCAATAAATATCGAAAAATCACCTAAACCTTGCCAACTACCTCTCTCTCTCTCTCTCTCGTTTTCTTCTCTCTAAACGATTCCAAGTTTCACCCACGCTTAATCGTAGTATCTTTTATTTTACTCGTCATTTAATCTCAGGTATAAACAATTTTATAAATATTATTACCCTTTAATTAAAAAGAAAGAGGTTTGTATTTTTTTTCTTTAATATTAATTAAGAACATCAGAAGAAAAAAATATAATTAAAAAATCACTTAATCCTTGCCAACAATCTCTCATTTTCTTATTTGTAAGCGATTTCAAGTATCAGCCACGTTCGTTGTAATATCTTCTATAATATTTTACTCATCAGTTAATTTTAGATATATCAAATTTTCTAATTATTATTATCCTTTAATTAAATACTCAAGTTGAAAAATAAAATTCTACCTAATTTGATTATTATATGAAATATAAAATATGAAATGATTGCTTTTTTTAGATCTACTTTATGTTTCTTTTCTTTGTACTAATACTCCAAGCGATTACCGATTCAATATTGATAATTCTATCCCTATTAAGCTCAACCCCCTATATATCTGAGCGTAAAAAAAAAGAAAAATATTTAAAGAACACGTGTCGTGAATATTTCAATGCGTCGTCGTGACTATCCATCAAAAGTTTTGACCTCGATAAAATGTCTTTTTTTTTCTTTTCTTTTCTTTTTCTTTTTTCTTTTTTCTTTTTCTTTTTTCTTTCAAAATCCAACTCGTCCTTCTAACCATAAATACTATGGCCTATTCTATCATACCTTAACGATATGTCTAACATAAATTCCATTCCTTATAGATACGATTTCCATTCGTAGATAACTATTTCCTTTAACGAGTATTACGTCCAAGGATATGATCGATTAGAATTGCGGAACGAACGTTTGTTTCTTTTTTAAACATGCTATCGATCGATCCATCTTTCAAACCAAGTGTTACCAGTAATTTACGACAAATATCTATCCGTAGTTATATCCAATATATTATTATAGTCATTTATTATTATTATTATTATTATTATTTTCGTGTTTTAAATTGTGCTAATTATTAGGTCAAGTCATAAGTAACTTTCGATGCGGCTATGTAGAATCTATTTTTCGTATTTACCTATTATAAGTCACCGAAACAAACAAATTTTCGATATCACTATATAGATGAGGATTCAGTTAGTCTTCTGTTAACTTTTTTATACAGTCAATGCTACATTCAACCGTTTTTCTTAATCACTGAAATGAATAGTAAAAAGTGCATATTCGACGTGTAATGCTTTAGGAATTGAAACAAGGCAATAGCACTAAGGTGGCAACTGAAAAAATATGCAGCGTATACAGTGCAGGTCTGATAACTGATAGGGCAGTCAGAAACTGGTTTGTAAAATTCCGTTCTGAWGATACGATCTTAAAAGATGAACCGAGTGTAGGACGTATTTCCGACTTTGACGAACCTTTTAAAGGTAATATTGGAGCAAAATCCAATAGATACGTTGAACAATTGCAAAGAGTGCAAAAAAAAAACTCCATGAAAGGTGTCTTGCACTTATCAGTCGCAGAAACGCCATTCTTTGTCTCATAAAAAAACGGAAGTTATTTATGACTCGACCTAATAATTCAACATTTTATTACGATTACATCGACGATTTTTCGATCGTACTTAAACTTTATCACTCGATCAAATCTTTTTCTATTGGAAAAGAAAAAGAAATATATATATATATAAAATAAATAAAAAACCTAATAAAATAGAACAAAAAGGTAATTTCGGTCGTACTAAATGTTTCCGATCGATAGTCGTCTCGTACTTTCTGTGATATTCAGCCAGTCGTAAAAATATTCGGACACTTTTATTTTAAATCGAATAACTCAGTCCTGTCCTCGGCCCCTTTTACCCGCTCCCTTTCCTTTCCCTACATCGAACCTTCAACTAAACTTTCGTAACATTTTTCGTATAAATATACGAACTATCTAACGAAATCTATTCGAAATTTCCTTTTTTTTTCTACTAAGTATTTAAAAATATAAATATAATAATAGAATATCTATTAAAAAGAAAATTGGATTTTTAAATAACCTATTTTCCTCAATTAAATTATTCGTACGAATGAAAACAAACAAAGGTTCGATGATAAAATGGTTATTTTCTTAACGATCATTTTATTTTTAACTTTCGTGTCCGCTTGTATAAATTTTCGCTAATTTATAGTTTCAACTTAGCTATCGTGTCCAGTTTATTGCATATAAACCGAATAGTCATTGCTTTTCTCATTCGCATAATAGCAAGGATATAAAATTGATTTATGTTGGGAAACGAACGATCGTTTAATAGTATTTGAATATATAAAAGACTATAATATGTTTCGTTAGAAAAATAAGAAAGAAAACAACCACAAAATGGTGCTGTATAACAATCAAGACCCATTCGTTCGAATAATAAAATAAAATCAATAATAATATGAAAAAAATTCTTAAGCTTACCTACGAAAGAAACGTTCAAAAGATAATCCCTGTAGAATGCACCACGATCGTAATTGGTCATCGCAGGACAAAGTCCTTGATTTTCCCCGCAAAGATCACGTTGAAGATTATGCAAAGCAATTCCAAAAGCGTAAACAGCATCAACGACGAATTGTACTTTAGATTCTTGTTCGTATCCTCTGCTAGTTGTCAATCTAAGTTCAGGATTACAAATTTTTCTAACCCCATTAGTCGGTGGTATCGTAGTAGGGATAATTTGATTTTGCGTTTTGGTGTTTTCATTTAAAACGCAACTAAAAACTTCTTCCCAATACTCGGTGAACCATGGATTTCTGTAATTGTTTTCAGGCGTCAATGACGCCATATACTCATCAAATTCTGGAATATTTTTCGATTGTAATTCGACCGTAATGGCACCTTCCGCTTCATCTTCCAATCCTTCGACCAATTTCAATTGTCTACCCCAACCATCACTGGCCAACCATTGAAACGGTTGACTTAGATTCGATCTTCTCGTTGCTTCGAGAATTCCTCGGGCATCTTCTGCACGGGTAAAAAGTACGACGGCTCTTGCATTAGATTTTTTGATTAATCTTTGAATGATATCGTCGAATATTTGATCATTAGCTGCGCTTGGTACTTTAACTGCAGCTGCTATGCAAACATTTCTTTCTATAGCTTCGCGAGTGAACACTTCGATTCCATGTTCCCCATAACTACCCTCTGAATAAACGGTCGATACGTAAGACCAATTAGCGCTTTTCACGACATCGACTAATGCTATCGATTGGAATGTATCCGGTGGTACTGTCCTTGCAAAGTAATCAAACCTGTACAGATACAAAACAATTTCTATTATGCTTAGCAACCATTTATTTTAATTCTAAATCGTCAACGTGAATCTTGCCATATTTGTATATAATTATTACTATTTTTTAAATTAAACTTATATATATATATATATGATAGTATATCCCATGAGAGATGAAATAAATCAAGATAGCTTTCGTTTCACAAACATAAAAGAATGAACAAAAAGGAAGAGTAGAAGAAGAAAAAAAGATAAAAATAAAACTAAAAATAAAAACACCATAACCCCCGAGGATAGAAATACTATATCATCTTAATGATCAGCACGTGTTGTGAAGTATATTGACGATCCACACGCAATTCTGTTCGATGTCTCGAGGGTCGTCATCGAAGTTTTTTTCCAAAGAAAGAGAAAGAGAAAAATGGGGTGGCGGTGGGAGGTAGGAATGGGTGGAGGCTCCATGATCGAACTCTGGGGACAAATTGGGTTACGCAGGATACGGATAGAACGTAATAGATATATTTCTACCAATCGATATACACCAGCACCATCAACTACGACAACGACAACGACAACGACGACGATGACGACGACGATACTCTCGCTTTCCAAGGAAAAAAAGAAGAGACAAAAAAAAGGGGGGGGGAGAGTCTCATTTGTAAGAACGCAAGTTAGCAAGCAATTTCGTGATTCTAACAGGAATGAAACCTTTCCTGAATATAATATCTCTTTCTATCCTTTTTTTCTATTTCTTTTTTTTTCGTCAGGAGTAACGACATTAAAAACGTTTCCTTTTTTTTTCTTCTTTCTTTCTTTCTTTCTTTCTTTTTTTCTTTCTTTCTTTCTTTTTGCTGACGAGTCTCTTATTAGACTTGAAAATATCTCCTTTATTCTATCATATTTTATGAATCGCAAAGAAGATTAATTTAAGGTTAAGAACAAAAAAAAAGTAATAATAGTAAACTGAAGGGTTACAAAAAATAATGATCTAAATGAGGTTTAAAATCTTCACTTTTTTTTTTACACATATACATAGAACAAGCATACGGATAACACGTGAATTCATTTTCGTTGGACTATTGTTAATGCTGTTCGGTTTAATGAAAATATTCTTTTTTTTTCTTTCTTTCTAACACTGCTTAGTATTTAATATTACTATAATAGTAATATGTATATATATATTTAAATATTCATTTGAAGACAAAAAGCGGTAGGAGTAGAAATGGAAAAGTTGGAAATTAAAGCTTTTTCAAGGAATACCTAATGAAACCGAAAGCAATATGAACCTTACAAAAGCACCCCTTTCCTTTGCTAAGCTTGCCTTCCAATGAAAATGACAACAAAGTATGTTCCAATTGGCCACAAAGCATAAAAGTAAAAAGAGGATAACCAAACTGCGATATGCAGTTATTGTTACTTCCATTGTTCATTAGTCCCACTAACACTTCTATCATTAAATCTAAGAAAATGAAAGAAAATATTAGATTCAAATTTTGATTAGATATTTTCTCAATCAAATGAAATTTAAAACTTAAACCTTGAACGCGAAACAGTAAAAGGTAACTTATTTGATTGACTGCATTGCTTTCTGACCCTTTGCCAAGATCTTTTAAAAGGATACTTGTCGTTAACGCAACTTCTTCTCTCAGAAGAAACTTTAACTTCGTGTGAACGCTTGACGCTTTACGCAATCCTTGGAGAAGGTAATTTTAGTTACGCAATAGTAGGAGTTGCTGCTGCCTTTCTCTCTCTCTCTCTCTCTCTCTCTCTCTCTTTCTCTTTGAAATTGCCAACGAAACAACGTAACTGTTCGTAATTAGTTGGAAAATTTATATCGATTTATATTTTTTTTATTTATTATTTTATACGTTGTTGCAATTGACTAAAAAACTAGGTACCTACCCCCGATACATTTGATAAGAAAATATAAATAAATAAAATGAAACAAACCTGGTTTTGTCGCTAAGAGCCTTTGCCGTGGATGCTGGTGATATTTGTGGTATGTGAAAGAGACGCAACAGATTGGCAACCTGAAGTGATACAGAACTGTATGATCCACCGATGACACCAAATATCGGACCAGCACTAGCAGTTTTCTTAACTCTTGGTGTTGATTTATCAGCACACTCTAACACGCTTATATCCAAATTTGAAAGTGATGCGCGAACGAAGTGTAGACTTTGATTGAGAGCATAGGTGTCCCTTCCACAAGTGTCCAGGATGTGTACACCCAACATGATGTCCGGCAATATCCTGCTCTCTCTGTTGATTTGATCTACCGCAAAAAGCATTGCCTCCAGCCGTTGGACCCCACGATTGTAGACGTTAGGTCCGCATGCGGAACTACCTTTCTCGTGAACGGGAAATAATCCACCTAGGACGATATCGCCCGGTATCAAAACAGATTCCCTTTCGCTGTGTAGTCGAGAATGACTGATAGATGGTAACTGTTGTAACGTCATCAAAAGGATCACAGTGCGTAACAAGGAAGGTCTCATTTTGATCAGGAAAATCTAAAGCTAACGTTAAGCTTTAATTTTCTTTTTTTTCTACTCGCATGCAGATCGCATCTTTTTGTTTTTCTCTCTTCTCTTCTCTCTCTCTCTCTCTCTCTCTCTCTTTCTTTTTCTATTCGTTGATTTTCTTTGAATAATTTACTTCTATCTTGTTCTCGTTAAAGGGTTCGTTTATCGTTGCTTTTCAACTTATTTAGGCTTTTCGTCGTATGTTTGACATACTCATATTAACTAGGCTTTCTCGTGACTTCAAAAACACTTAAACGTATACAAATATATATATATATATATACGAGTATGTATATATATCCTTTTCGTTTTAAAACGAAATTTATTCGTATTATTTCATAAATATTTTCTTATTCGTTTGTAAAACTTGAAAAGCTTTTTCCTTAAAAATCTTTTATGGAAAAAAGATGCTAATTTAATTACGCGAACTTTTTTTCATTTTAATTAAATATAAATAAATGACTAGAGACGATAATTATTATTATTAAATATCGATGATGATAGAGATCGAGATCGGTAAATAGGTTGTTTGCAAAGCATCGAATGCGATCTATCCTGTGAGGCCTATATAGGTCGTCATGGATGTGCAGTAGCTATTTCCAAGTTTCCAATCAAAGCCCGGAAGTTGTCTGCAAAATTATTCATCCAAAAGCCGGATATGCGGTGCCGATACGTTCAACTAGGAGAACGAAGAACGAAGAGAGAATGTTATTAACTTGCCGAACATTTCTCTTCAAAGCATCAACTTCGAAACATAATTGTTACTTGGACCAAGGGCATATTCATTTTTAATTAATAAAATCGATTCTGATACAAACTACCCCTTTTTTAAAACTACGACTAAATTTTTCTTTTTTCTATTGTTCCATTTTTAATGATATAAATTAACAAATATAATATAATTTGTAATTTTTACTTAAGAATGATTCGAGGATCTTTTCTCGTTCAGGATCCTTGTATTATTCGTTCGACACCGGAAGTCTAATTTGCAAGCAACCTCGGCATTTCCGTCTTCACCGGAACTTTTTCTTCTTCTTTCTTCTTTCTTAGGCAAGAATTGAAAGAAAAGAACGGCTCCTTTTCCTCTCTCTCTCTCTCTCTCTCTCTCTCTCTCCCCCCTTCTCTGTGTCCTTCTTTCCTTTACTTCACGAAACCAACCCACCTTAGTAGTCTTCAACGGAATAAAACTTTTTTTCGGTGAGCGTCAAACTTTTTATCCAAAGTCAGGTCTCAGAAGCACCTTCTATATCGTACGGTTCCTTTCGATTCTTCAAGAAAATGTGTTTCTCTTGAGTTTAGTTTCCTTTCAAACTTTTCCTTTCCTTTTTCTACCTCTTTATATACAACATACATAAATAGTACACAAATATATATATGTATGTATGTGCATATATACGTATATATATATATATATCTCGATGAAAAAGTGTTGCTTTCTCGGGTAACTCCGACCCGTTTTCTTTGACGCAAAGCTCGTAACAGCGAAGTGGCGTTCTCTTCTTTGCTTCACTTCCCTATTTCTCTCTCTTTCTTTCTCTCTCTCTCTCTCTCTCTATCTACCTATCTATCCCTTTTCTTTTTCCCCCTTTTACCCGAACCTTTATCTTCCTCCTCTCTCCTCCACGCTACTGCAATGGATTCGGATTTCCACGATACGCTTCAGCACTTCCTCTTTTAGCGTACTTTCCTCCACCTTCGAATCCTCCTCCCACGGATTCAACCCCCTCGTGTCCCCCTTCATCGCGCAAATTTCGCTTTTAACTCTGAAACCCTAATCTCTCTTCTCGTTTCAACGAGAAACACCAGCAACATCGAAAAAAAGCCTCCTTTTTGCCGCCCCCCCTTTACCCCTACCTTAATGTGGTCCACTGCAAAGTTCTTTTTCAACTTCGTTTCACTCTTTTTCTTCTTTTTCTATTTCTTTTTCTATTTTTTCTTGTTATCACACGACCCCTTAAAAACGGGCGACACTTTACCTAAATGAGTTCTAATTCGTGTCACGCTAACCTGGGATCGTTCAAAGCTTGGATTTGACTCGCTTAACGTACTACTCGAGCCACTCCGTACTGCTCAGCTCGTAATCTTAAACGAAATAAAGCTACGCGATTTAGAGTACCAGGAGGTATAGTTGACATTTTTTTCTCACAGTACTCTACTTGTTCTACGAAAATGTTCCCTTTTTCCCCTTCTTTTTCTCTCTTTTTCTATTTTTTCTCCTTCCTCTTCTTCTTCTTCTTCTTCTATGGTTGAAAGAAATATTCGTTCCAACGATATTATTCGACTAGGAACAAATTCTTCTAACTGCAGTAACGATGTAGACGATGATAATATTAATATTATTATTATTAATAATAATAATAATAATAATTTATCGGTATTTAAATCTATTATATGTTTTTGAGTAAATTTGGAACAAATCGATCGTATCCTTGATCGAAGGTAAACTCGTAGCAGAATAAAGAGAAGTGTCCCAGAATGGGTTCGGTGATGCGAGAACGAGACAAGACAACTAGGATCGATAACCGTTGATCCGTTTCCTTTACGATGCTCGCAAATCGATGTTATCCTGTCGAGATATTTCTTCCTTGGTCTCGTTATGATAAGAATACTCGTTGGTATTCTTATCATTTTTTATTGTTCGAGAAAAATTTCGTCAACTAAATATAATCGAATAATGTAAACGTACGAACGTACATGGTCCGTTGTGTTAGTTGTGTCTATATATTATTTTTTTTCCTACCCTTTCTCCTTGTTTTTTTTTATTTTTTTTATTTCTGTCTATATTTTTCTTTTTCTCTTTCCTTCTCTCTCTCTCTCTCTCTCTCTCTCTCTCTCTTTTTCTCACACAAAACTTTTCTAACGTATCTTTGGTCCAATCACGAGAGAGAACTGTCGAGTATCGAGTGTCCTGACACACATTCTTCTTCAAACGTTGCTATTTCTCTTTCTCTTTATTTTTGTTTTATTTTTTTTTATTTTTCTCTCTTTTTCTCCGTGCGTTATCCGTGGATCTGTGTTTCAACAAAAACAAATCAATCAATATCACGTCACGATGCTTCTTGACCTCCTCCTCCTCCTCCACCTACACCACCTCCACCTCGTCTTCCTCGTGGTGGTCCACTAGCAACTTGTTATTTTCTCACGCAAGAGAGGTGAAAGAAATATTCTTCTTTCAAATCTTCTACCTCTCTTTCTTCTTACTTCTTCTTCTTCTTCTTCTTCTTCCCCTTTCTGAGAATAGAAAAGGAAGAAAAGGGAGAGAACGATGAGGAAAAAAGAAAAAAAAGGAGAACAAAACTTTTTTTTTTTTCTTTCCCCGAGGATAAAAGTCTCACGTCCGTATCAGAGCCCGTTCTTCAATCCGCTAAATTACCAGCTAAAGATTTAACCTCGAGAATCTTGATTCTCCTAACTGCGATTTTTTATTCCGAACAAAAGAAAAAGAGAAAATGAGAGAAAGAAGAAGATAAATAATTTTTATTTATATATATATTATAATAAAAAATATAATAAAATAAAATATATAAAATTATAATAATAATAATAATTTATTATATATATATATATATATTTTTTTTTTAATGTAATTCTTAATAAATATAAATTATGAATATAGTATAAATTATATAAAAATTAAAATTAAACTATAAATTATAAATATATAGAAATATAAAATAATTAACCCAACACCTAAACGCATATACGTGTATACATATATTTATCCGAGTTCGAAAAAATCATCTGCAAGCTTCAACTTCGTGATACCGTATTTATTTATATTTGCATACGTTTATAATAAGAAGGTGAGAATACCGCGTTGCGAGGCGTGATGAGAGTGAATGAAAGTTCGAAGGTCGCTCTCGAAAAAAAAAAACGAGAGCAAAAGAGAAAGAAAGAAGAAGGGTGCTGGTGATAGACACAAACACGAATTTTAATACCTACCAAGTTACTGTGTTCTCTTTCTCACTTTCTCTTTAACAAGCTACTCTTCAGTTTCTTTTCTAGGAAACACCGTTTACATCAACCCTCGATTTTCTTTTGCTACAACCTCGCACCCTCTCTCTTTTTCTTACAAGAGTGGACGTTCAAAGGCTCGGGCACGAAAATCGCTGACTGACCTAAATAACGCGTTTCCTTTTCATCCATATATCTTTCTCTCTCTCACACACACTCTTTCTGTATTTTTCTTCTCTTTCAATCATTTATGTGTCCAGAGATGTATAATAATAATAATAATAATCTATTACCTAACAAATCATTACAAACATTACACACGCACGAAATCACGCACGTTCAATTTAGAAAGAAAAAAAAAAAAGAAAATGTATCGTCGAACTAACACAACGCACGCATGCACGCACGCATGCACGCACGCATACAGATATTCGAAGTTAACCGTGATTTGCTTCACATTCTTTCCCTCCTTTCTCTCTCTCTCTCTCTCTCTCTCTCCTCTATCTATGCGTGTTTATCTATCTATATCTATCTATCTATCTATCTTACTCCAAAAATGAAAGTCGAAATAACGAGCTCCGACGATAGCACGTTGGAATATGATACGTATCGAATCGATAATCTCGACGATGCTTGCGCGAGGAGATGACTCGATGCTCGGAAAAACAAGTTACTCTCTCTTCTTCTCTCTCTCACTCTCTCTCTTTACATATATATAATATATATAGAAATATATGTATATATATATTTTTTTCTAGCTTGCTTGCTTGCTTGCTTGCTCTCTCTTTTTATCTCTCTCTCTCTTTCTCTCCTTCTTCGTGTTGTGTGTTTACCAAGCAAACCATCGCGAAAGGAAATCGCGCGATTGCCGTGCAACTGCAGCCTCCGCAAAGATCATCCCTCTTTTCTTCTCCCTCTCTCTCTCTCTCTCGTAGGCGTGGACTCGCGAAAATCGTCGAGATGTAATCGTAAATCGCGAATAGTAGAAAATTGACTTTAAATGACGACAGTCAGAGATAGATCAATCAAACAAACAAACTAACTAACAATTAAACAACTAACATTAATATCTTCTCCCGGTTGTGTTGCTTTATTTTTATTATTATTTTTATTATTATTAATATCCTCCCTTTCTCTCTCTCTCTCTCTCTCTCTCTTGCTCTTCCTTAAATTTCGTTCAGTTATCAGTCCTGTCTCCTCCTAAACGGCGACAGTAGAGAGCAGGGTGGTTGTTCGGTGAGGCTCATCGAGCGTCCATCGAGAACTTTCATCCCCCGTGATTTCGACGATCCGTCCTCGAAAAGTGTCGATAGGACGAACCAAAGGATCCTTGTTTGGAAACATCGCCGTTCGGGGAAGAAGAGAGTGTGCGGACAAGCGACGATCTCCAAGTTGCCGCCACAGCACGACTGGCCGGCCGGCCTTTCCTACCCTCTTGCCCCTTTTACATCCCCCACTACTTTGCCTACCCTATCACCCACCCTCTCACCGACCCTCTCACCCATCCATCCACTCTCTATGCTATTTTATCCTCTCTACATACCCCTTCTTCTCTTCCTACTTCTGTCTCCCTTTTTTGCTTCTACTCTTTCTCTCTCTTTCTCTTTGGTTCGTCCTCTATCGCAGTAGCAAGCTCACTCTCGCGCCACTGTTTCGCGCTTCTATCTATCCCCACCCTATTTTCTGGAGCTACTCTCTACCCCCTCTTCCCACACAACTACCATCACTTGGAAGAACCAGTGTACCACCCACCCCATATACGTATACGTAGCTTGCACATTCGCACGAACGATAGGTTAAACGCCGTGACGTACCTCTCACCGTCGAAGAAGAACCCTTCCTTCCCCACTACCACCAGCATGACTACCCCACCATCACTACCGCCATCAGCACCCTACTGCCCACCCACCCTCTGTACTCGTTTGTTCGCTTGCGCTTCTTTAGCTCCAGTAAGCGCAAGGATAAACGTTCCTACCGTGACGAGGACGATACCTTTCCTTATCGAAACTTCCAACCTGTTGTCGTTACAATCTCTTCTTTTATTCTCTACTACAAACAATCAATAAAAAGAAAAAAAAAAGAAATCCCTTATAAGTAAAAGAGATAGAGAAAAATAAAATGAAAATAAGATCAAGGATTGGTATAATCCGTTTGAAGGTTTTTCATACTAGACAATGTTATCGGTTGTTAAACTTACATTCAAAGTGTTTGCCTGGATTCGATCTAAATCAATTTGACCTGTTCCTCTCCTCCTGTTCCTCCTCTTCCTCCTCTTATTTCCCTTACTCGTCGTAGTAGACGATCCGATATATCGATCCATCGAATTCTACTTAACGAGACTAGGCAACTAGCAAGCTAGCTAGCTAGCTAGCTACGTCCAATTGGTATTTATCTTACGATAGAACGGAAATATTCCAGGATCGCTTATTACATGCGCTCGATTAAAACGTTTCGTATTCCTTCAAACCAAAATAATCTTTGATATTACGCATAGGGTAGAAAGGAGAACAATTGAAAATTAGTATAGTTCGTTTTTGCTATCAAAATGGTATAAAAGAAAAGAAAAAAAAAACGAAATACAGCGATGGCGTATATTTTGATTTCAAATTTACTCTTCCGATTTTTTGTTGTTACGAGAGTACTAGAAATAGATGGAATTTTAATTGTCATCGAACTACCGAGTATTTTTTATTATTGTGTTTTAGTTTTTTTTTGTTTCGTTTTGTTTTTTATCGTCCATCCCATAACTCACTCCTAAATATTAAAAAGAACCCCGTTCCAGTCCCTCATCCTCATCCCATCAATCCTTGTTTTCTTTGGAGAAGAATTTCTCGTATTTTTAGCATCGATTTTCGAGTACGACGCTTTGACGTCAGCATATCTGAACGTGGAACACAAGTTCGTTCCTCCTCCATTGACATTTGAAAAACGAAATTTCACTCGGCCCATCCTTAAAAGCTCGCGTATATTTTTCCTCTTCTTCTTCTTCTTCTTCTTCTTATTCTTCCTCTTCATCTTCATCTTCTTCTTCTTCTTCTTCTTCTTCTGTAAGCTCTTCTTTGCTTGCGTTCCTCTTTACTACATTGTGTTAATACGCTCGCGTATGCTTTTTTATCATCTTTATTCATGTTGTCTCTTCTTATCTTTCATCTTTTCTTTTCCATTTTAATTTGTCCTTCGTTCACTTTACTCTCAAAGTAACCATATATAACATCGTTAGAAAAATTGTCCACATCGTACCGCGTATCTACACATTCGATATTTTTACGTTAGTTTCCCAACGACTGGAATAATTTTTACGTACATTTTTTTTCCTCCATCCTTTCAAAAAGAAAAGCAAATGAAAACGAATGAAAAAAAAAAAAAATACAGAGAGAAAATAAAAAAGCTATATAAAATGCAATTTCAAATATGGCGTTCTGGAATTCTTTTATCGTAGATGTACGATTTAAAAGCGCGTACTGTTCGTACACTTTAAATGCGAATATCGTGTTTGAAATGAAAAAAATAAAAAACGAAAGGGAACAAAATAGAACAAAAATTATATTTTTAATATTAATCTAATAAATACTTGATCCATATGTTAATCGTAATATTTAGTAGTAATTATTTCAACAAACAAAATTCAAATACTCGTGCACGCGTGATTTCATTTATAATTAGACAAGCATAAAAAAAAAATAAGAAGAAACGTTGGAAATAAACGTAAGGAAAAAGAATTAAAAAAAAAAAAAATGTCTGCGAATGTTGCGAAAGAAGAAAAAAAAGGCACACGTGCACACAAAATGTTTTGATAAGTGTGCGCATATTCTCGCACTCTTAAAATTGCATACAAGAATATATACACACGTATATATTCATAAATATAGATATATATATTTATATACATAAGTATGGCGCATACATATTTTTAACTTGACTCATTCGTTCGCATATTTAAGAAACTATTGTTGACATCCTAAAAGATAAATTTGTCATTGCAACTGAGTACACTCTGTATACGCAGTCAAACAGACTTATCTATTCATTAACACATTTTATGCATACGTATACACGTGTACGATTGTAAGCCTTCTTTGTAAACCCTGCTTATTTTGTTTTACATGCATATGTTAACATATAAATATATACATATATACATATTTATATATAAATAAAATATTATTTTTATACTATCAGCATATATACGTAGGTAAGTCGACAAGTTTTAAGCTTATTTTTTTTCTGCAAGTTTTGGAGCAACGTTGAAAAATAAATAGTTTCAATTATAGATTCACAACTTTTTTGCATATAATAATTAACCTTTTTTTCAACATAAAAAATTACTTGCTAAACAATATCTGCACTTTTATGCTTGCATTTGAAATATAACACAAAAGGTATAGTTATGATAAATTTCCAAAATATTTATATTCTCTATTAATATTAGGGAATTAACTGAAGCTAATATATTTGTATGAGTACCATTAACTAACATTCTTTCCTATTTAAATGTAGGATATTAACTGCTAGGTAAACATTCTTACTATTTATGCTCATTTGCCTGAATATTCTCATAACAAAGGTGCAGCTCCATTGTTTGGAAAGTAAACCTTACTAAGCTGCTTTTATTCTACTCCATAAATAACTATCAAATATGTATATATGAACAAAAGATAAAACTTTGAACTACGAACAAAATGACAATTTCGACTTTAAAAGATATTTAAAAGCTTTTATATTAATACTCGATTAATACTTATTCGTAAATCGTAACGATTTCAAAAGCTTCATTAAAGGATAATCGATAATACGATTGAAATATAAAAAGATCTGAAAATAAGATGAATTTTCATCGAATGATTGATCGACTTTGTCAGATTTTAATATATTTTGTTATAAAATCAATTTTGAAAGTTGTGTACTCTTTCATAAAGAGTCACACACATATATACATAACGTATATGCATAGAATTTCTATAAGGATATTTATTAAAGCGGGGGTTAACTAATATAACGGCTTGGAACTTTCAATAAAGACCGATGATCGTCCATTGTCGCGAAGACCGACACGGGCACACGGTGAAGACGATTATTGTCCGCATGATTACGCTGTTCCATTTCCTTCCATCAATCTCTCTTTCACGTGGTAGTAGTAATGCCTCGTATAAAGTTGATTCATATTTCGCATCAGAGACGCGGCAGCGACTGCACAATGTGAAATTTAGAACGAGCGCGAGCTTGGGTAATCAATGAGGTGGAGGTGACAAAGAGAGAAATAGAAGAACACTACGTGCAAGTGAAATAGAGAACAAGGACAGAAAGAGACAGAATGAGAAAGAGAGAGAAAGAGAGAGAAAGAGAGAGAAATTCTGGTGTGAGAAAAGCTTAGCAGATATTTCGTAACAAGAGGCGCATGGCAATTCTCGATTCGTCTCATCAGCAAAGACTGAAGTTAAGTAAGCGTATAAGTAAGTATTATACCATGCATACATACTCTTCTATACTTAAAATTAGCTATGTAAAAGCTAAAGCAAAGAACACCGTTTGCATAACGTTTAACACCTGTTTCTTTGTATGTTTATTTTCAATATTCTTTTCCTCCATACTCTTATCTTTTATCAGCAAACAGAAAACTTTCATCTTGGTTTCTGCGTCCTTAACTCTAATTTGAATCATTTATCTTTTGACATTTTAAATATCTGATATAAACATTTAGATATATTGATAGATGTATGATCAGTATGATAAATCAGTTAAGATATTTATAGATAATGTTATATTATCTAACAATTGAAAATTAGTTTTATAAATCGTATATTTGCTTTGATATTTTTATTACTAATTGTAAATTGTTATTTTCTTTGTTATTTAAAGAAATTATAAAGTTGTATTTCTAATATTAGAATAATATTATACTTGTGATATAATCGCACGAAAGGATCAATATTTATTTACGACATATTGTATATGAGGTATAAAAAAGTAATCTCATTTTCTTATTGAATGATTTTTATTAGCGTCAAACAAATCCAGCAAAAATAAGAGATATTTACCAGAATTCTTAGTTAACTGGTACAAAGTGTGTAAACGCATGATATCGATGTTATCATTTAATTTTATCACACGTGCTTTTAATAAAATATATGAATTGCTTACTTCCTTCCGGGAATTTTTATTTGCCTTTTATTTGCTCAAATGTACGAAGAATGAAACAATAGTAATAAATATCAAAATAAATAATTCAATAGAAATTATTGATACAGTCATCTTTCTGTTCTTCTAGAAACATCATTTTTGAAAAAAAAAAAGAATTATAAATAAAATGTAATCTAACAATAAGATAAGATAATAAATAACGTGACTCCAGTCGCGTGAACATCAGCATGAAAAAGATTATTGAAATAACGAAGGATTTTGGTATTACTTATCTTATTATCGTAAAACCGACCAAAGGAATCCATCAGTTGCGTCAATTACGTGGCGCACCAAATGCATTACGTCCTGTCGGTCTTTATCTCATATGATTAACGACATTTGCTAGAAAGATATTTCCGTAACCAAGGAAAAAGAGGGTCAACGTTACGTATTTTTAAACTACATTATTTCTTTTTCTTTTTTTTGCATTTTTTCTTTCTAATAAAACATCACAACTACATATCTCATAAAACTTGGCAATTAATTGGAAAGAAACATGTCCGATGATGTATGGTTCTTTGAACTGTATAAAACATATTCTCAATGTTTTCTTTTTTCTTTCAAGAATTATCTTATTTTCCGCATAACGATCATCGATAAGATAAAAATAAATATATGTTTCATCGGATTAAAATTCCCGCGTTTCCGCTCGAACGAAACAAAACTCGTGCGCAGATAGTTTTCAAATCGGCCGGTAGTTGGCGCTTCGTTTGACGCAATGATAGACTTTAAATTTACTTGGACGCCCATTATAAAGAGAGACATTCGTTTGACATACGCGATTGACCTTTGATCAGTGTGCAGTGCTAGTGATGCTTCCAGCCGATTACTTTTTTCTCTCTTTATCACATTTTTCGACCATTATTTATCAATTAAAATAATAATAAACATTCGTTTCGAGTGCTGGATTCAATTCATCAGATCTGAATTATCAAGAAGAAATTGAATTGTTCACTGTTCGAAGTGGTGTGTGTCTCTCTTTCTTTGACATTGTGTCTTATTCCGTTTCTCTATGCGCTAGACGCGTATCGTAATAATCCTTTTACTCTTAATTTCTTTTTGTCCTTGACCAACAAAATGTAATTTTCTTTCAAACAATGTGAAAAGACAAAAATCTTACTGGTTAAACAAATGTCTGTCTGTTGTTGGTGCTCGTTAATCGAAAATGTAAATATATTTGAGTGATCAAAAAATATCTGAAACAAATATTATTGTGAAATATACGAGGCCCTTGTTTATATTTTGAATATGATGAAGGGACAAATACAAGCAGCACGAGAAAGGTTAGGTGAGTAAAGAAAATTCAATCTTTTACTTGCTTTTTAGTTAGTTTATATATGCGTATCCAACATATTTTTAGATTTATTTTTTTTCCAAGAATAGTTTCACATTTGGAATGCAATTTTTTTTTTTTCTATGTACCTCTTTTATGTACAAAATAAATAGTTTTGAATTAACTTTCCGTATGCTACTGTCAACGCTTTGTTTTGTATATTACAAACTTTATAAATCTTAAACTCGTAGTCAAATATAATAACTTTATTAAATTGATTTTTTAGGAGGTTTCAGCAATAGCACTTACTATTCTAGTTCGTCAGACCACGTATCTGACATTCAACGTATTGTTCCAATCTCGCATTATGAATTGCAATTGGATGATTCTGCTGTTGCAACAGAAGTTGATAATAAAGTTAAAACTAAATTGCTCTCTATATGGAATAATGTTAAATATGGTATGTACATACATATATATATATATATATATATATTAGAAGATTAACAATTGTATTTTATTGTATTTCTACAATCGTATTATATGGATTGTTATTTTATTCTTTTCTTACTATTTCTTTCCATTTTCTAGGATGGACCGTAAAAATAAAAACAAATTTTTCTAAAGAATCTCCAGTATGGTTGCTAGGACAAAGATATCCCAAACAATTGGAAGATACTTTGGAAAAAGCATCAGAAGCTCTTTCTGGATTAGGAACTGGAAGCGAAGTTTCCCTGGCAATAGATGCTGCTAGTTACGAAGAAGGAATCGAAGGATTTAAAAGAGATTTTATTTCACGCCTATGGCTTACTTACAGAAGAGAATTTCCTAATCTAAGAGGTTCTACTTTCACTACTGATTGTGGTTGGGGTTGTATGTTACGAAGTGGTCAGATGATGATGGCGCAAGCATTAGTTTATCATTTTCTAGGACGAGGTACTAATTTTGTTTTTTTGTATATATATAAATATTAATATAATTAATTGAAAAAATAAATGTATTCTTTACAGATTGGAGGTGGAATCCTGATCAAACTGTTGAAACTGATGAACAGAAAAATGAAGAGATGAAACATCGTATGATTATAAAATGGTTTGGAGATCAACCTGGACCTCATTCTCCTCTTTCTATTCATAAACTCGTATCACTTGGTGCACAATCAGGAAAACAAATAGGGGATTGGTACGGACCAGGATCAGTTGCACATATTTTAAGCCAAGCAGTAAAATCTGCGGCTGAGATACACAGGGAGTTTAGCAATTTATGTGTTTACGTTGCTCAAGATTGTGCAGGTAAAAGATAGATTATATATATTTATGATTTTATTTTAGTACTATTTATAATCAGTCGTTTCTTATCTTATCTAACTTATCTATTTCTAATAATATTTAAGTCTATCTGGACGATGTGAAAAAATTATGCGAAACATCGGATGGAAGCTGGAGATCTCTTATATTGCTAGTACCATTAAGACTTGGTACAGATAAGTTAAATCCAATGTATATACCATATTTGACTAAGCTGTTGGAATTAGAATTCTGCATTGGTATCATTGGTGGACGTCCTAGACATTCGCTTTACTTCATCGGTTATCAAGAAGATAAGTTGATACATTTGGATCCTCATTACTGTCAAGAAAGTGTTGATATGTCGAAAGAAATGTTTTCCTTGTCAACATTCCATTGTACCTCACCCAGAAAAATGGTACTTTCCAAAATGGATCCCAGCTGTTGCATCGGTTTTTACATATATGATAAAGACTCTTTCGACGAATTTATAACAAAGATCGAGACCGTAAGTATTGATAATATTTTCAAATAATTTATTGTATTCAATTTTATGTTAACGTTATTTTATGTCATTTTATGTTTTTTTATGTAAAAAAACATCGATTATACAATAAACCGGACATTATTAACGTCATAAAATCACGCCGATTAAAATAGGCCGGTCACGTGGCGCGCATGGGAAAGAATCGAACGATGCATAAAATATTGGTCGGTATACCGAACGGGAAATAACTAGAGACGAGTAGTAAACAGAAACGTAGATGGGAGGATGATATTAGAAAAAATCTTAAAGAAATAGAATACGAAGATTGCAAATGGAGGGGGTCGCGAAAACAACAAAATTAAAAAGAATTAACCGATATCGAAATAAAAGAGTAACTTTGGAAAATGAATACTTGATAAGTAAATTTATTTATGTCTGATGAGAGCATTTATTTGATTCTATTTTTATTACAGATATTTATGTCTCAAAGTCAGAAAGCGGATTATCCGATGTTTTTATTTTGCGAAGGAAGCGGAGAAGAATTGCAAGAAAACATAGAGGTTGGTGAAAATCCATTGCCCTCGACATTGTTTGTACGACCTGGTGCATTCGAAGATCATTATGAGTTTGAGGAATTTGAACTCATATGTATAGAAGATAAAAATAAATAGAAAAAGAATCACGATGTACTTATAAATATTTCTCAAACGTACGAATTACGTAAAGTACGTACTATCTACTTATTTACATCATACTATTAGTATTACTACTTGCTACTATTACTACATTCGACAAATTTATAATCCTTTGTTAATTCGTCCAATATTCTTAAGTGATAAATTCAACAATATTAGAGATTACTTTGAAATCTAACACACATACAGTTGTGTCGTTATTAAATAATTAAGTGTTATTCAAATTTAAAGGCAAAGTAACTACAAAAAAATATGCACGCTCTAACTAAGAAAAAATATGGCGAATTTTTTGAAAAAGATATCTTACATGGTGTACGTCTTAAAATTGCAGACTGATGTCAATGCGTTGACTAAATTATATTTAAGTATGTAAAAAAAAAAAATATGCAGAAAAGATAGAAGTTTAAACTAACCATCTATTTGTTTGATGGTGATTAAGATACTAATGCAATGATCTTTAATAAGTATTAAACAAAGGCACAATTTTTTTTTACTCTTTGTTATCTGATCTCGAGATCGTTGCGATTTTTTTCTTCTTGTTCATATGTACATATATTTATTTATTTATATTTTTTCTTCGGATTCTCTCTCTCTCTCTCTCTCTCTCTCTTTCTTTCTCTCTCTCTTCTTCTCTACTTAAGGAGTAAGATTTATTTGTTTTTTGTTAAATACGTATATATATATATATTATAATTGCGATCGTAAACTGTATTAAATATATAAGAGAATATTTATTTATTTCTGTAGAATATATATCCTTCGAAATCTTGCATAGATTGCAAGTAAAGTAAGTAGATACATTTTACTATTAATAGCAATTTGTATGCATACAAAGCGTTTCTCAATTACCTGAGTAAACTGTTCCTGTAAAATGTACATTATTTCTACAAAAAAAAAAAAATGAACATGCAAAGTAAAATACGAATACATGGATACATACATACATATGAATAAAAATTAACTATCGAGTTTACACAAGTAAATAAATACTTGTATACATGTATGATTTATATTATTATTTATATTAATTTGTATTTTCTCGTTAATTGTTAAAATTGTTTCATAATCATCTATTATATTTCAAAGTATTAAGTTATTTATTTATTTATTTATTCGTTTATTTATTGTTAGATAATATAATTAATTAATTATGATAAATGTTGCAATAAAATTATTGTATGATTTATAAAGCAGTATTCAAAGTAAGTGTTTATCAATGATTCATATTAAAATCTGTAATTTAAAAATTATTCAATCATTGAGAAATATATTGATAGATCTTTATTATTTATTTTCTATAATCCTAGATCGTTATTCGTTAATGAAAATAATATAATTGTAATAATTGAAATCAATGTGTATATTAAATAGTTTTAAGTTTTTATCAAAATTTTGCACGTATCATCATATTTCACGACAATTCGGTATATTAAGATTTAAGTAAAATTATTAAGCCTCACGTTATGGGGGAAAAATGTACGGTGGTATCAAGAGAATTTGTTGATTTTTTATAATGTTAAGATGATGATGGCTGAAAAAGAGAAATAAATTAATTGTACGCGAGATAATTGCGAATTGTGTGCATGGTATATTTATAATATATAAATATATATATATACATATATATTATATATTATATACATGTATATTACACTGTTGAGTATATACATATTCATTAAAGATTTGTTAAGAAGATTATAAATAAAACTGAACGAGGCATATAAACTTTGTTACATAATTTTTTTTTCAATGGTACTTGTGTTTGTTGCGCTGTTAATCTTAAGTTTTTATGTAACTTCAAAAACATTTTTTTTTTTTTTATCGAATCTCATTCACAGTTAATCATTGTGGCTAAGGTACAGCTTACGCAATGAAAAAAACCATCAAATATTATATGTGTATAGATAAACAGATATTATGTGCACACACACACATACAACTTGCTATTTATTTATATATTATCAATTTATTTACAAGTAAAAATTACAACAAATAATGCAATTGATAATACTACTTGTCTTGTACTATATGTAATTGTTCATTTAAAATCAAATTTGGCAATGTCATTAAGCGTGTCACGAGACCCTAATTTATCTCGTTTTTCAGTCTATGCTTATTATCAAATGATTAACGATAATAAAAAAAGAAATAAACAAATATCTATATGTATACATATATACATCGATAATAATCAACGATATATACGATATCGAAAATATTCGTTGCATATGTATAATATGATACACGTACTACACAACATTGACAAATATTTACAAATGTGCGTATATTTTGTATTGAATGTAAAAAATAAGTTCTAAACATAACTATATAACTAGGCTATTTCAGTCAATTCATTTTTTTTTTTTTTTTCACTAAAAAGTTCACTGTTTTTGTTTTTTTCGTGCGTGTTTTTTCTTCTTCTTTGAAATATTATAAAAATTGTTTAACACATTCCTTGATCGATGGCCACATTTCATTGGTGGTGTTACCTCGAAAATCCTTAAGTATTCCAAGTTTACGATAAAAATTGATTACTGGTTCGGTTTTCATAGAATATTCTTTTAATCGTTTATGAACAACCTCCAGTTTGTCATCCTGTCTTTGAATAAGTTTTTCACCTGTCACATCATCTTTACCCTGTGCATATTATATACACACGTATATTTATGTACACGCATATAGATATTTGAAAAGATGTTAATAATAAATCACCTTGAGAATTATTTTAATTTTAAAACGTTATGCATATTGCAAGGCAAAGCTTATAATCGTCTGTTACATAAGAGAATGATAAGATGACAAATAGAAATGTTTAGTATGATCATTATTTATTATCTGTTAATATTATTTAACGAGATAACGAAATCCATCCATTATTGGATTGTTTTTTTTTTTTGTTCAATTAAAATAATTTCAATATATTAATATTCAAATTAGATTAACTAATACTTAAATTTTAATTTAATTGTCAATTTTATAAATGAATAATTTGATTTATGATTAAACTTACCGGTACTTTAGGATCGTTAAATCCTAAATTATAAACTCTTCCACTTGGCAAATGAATCCACCTATTTTTTACTCGATCTAAAATCACCGAAGTAGGTACATCCAAGTTCAGAACAAGATTCACCGGTTGAATTCTTTGTAACATTTCCGCTTGAGTCAATGTTCTTGGGAATCCTGTAAGCGGATCGTGCCAAGTATTCGTGCGATCGAATTTATTTTTATCATAAGAAATAGTGTTAAATAACGATTAATAAATTCTAAGGTAAAATATTTCAAATATTAAATTACACTTACCATCTAACAACCAATTACAATCACCTACAGTTTCAATTTCTTTCCCGATTAAGGATATCATCGTTTCGTCTGGCACGAAACTTCCACCATCCAAATATTTTTTTACTTCTTTACCTAATTCTGTTGAATAAACAAACAAAATATTTTAAAGTTCTAATTATTATATTTTTATATTAATTGGACGGTAATTAACAAGTAATCTTTAAATGTGTCATGTTTTTTTTTTATAATTACTTAATTGATTTACTAAATATTTAATAAAATAATATATTTATATGATTCGAAACTCAGGCCCGTATCAACCCGAGGGTGCAAAAAATGCACCGCACTCGGGCGGTAATATTGGTTTGCACAAATTGTTTTTTTTATTTATTATAGTTAACTTCTTTTAATTATTAAAAAAAACATATATATATATATATATATATATATATTTAAAATTACAATATAAATAGAGAAGTAAATAGAAAAGATATAAGAAATATATATTTGAAAAGTAGAGTAAAACGTTATATGGTCAGCCATCTTTATAATACAACTACAATCTATAATTTATTAGATTATAACAAAAATATTGAAATATCATTCATTGATAACTTTGAAATATTTCCTAATATTAATAATAATTCAAATTTTGCCGCTTTTCAAAATGTTTTCTTCATTTGAGTTCAATATATCGGATAATGTATTTGCAAACTTTTTAATACGAATTATCAATACGACCTTTGCTATTAAACATTTTATTTTCGTCCCAAAAACATGCTCGTAACTACGAAATATAAAAAACATGATAATTAATATTGCGTTGCAATATTCACATTTTCTCTCTCTCTCTCTCTCTTTTCCTCTTTCAATGACATTCGATTTTCTAGACACGAAGATGATGAATGTCAATGAAATTTCTGAGGAAATCGTTGCGAGACATTTTAATTAACTATCATACGGTGACATGATTTCAGTTTGTCGAAATCAAATCACACATATATATATATATATAAACTAAAACTCGTATTCATGCACACATATACACGTCACGTATGTCTCGTAGTTACATTGAAAAGAGTAATTGACGTGCTGTGCCAATGATTACTCTCTCGCAACTTTTAATAAACGAACTTGTTACGATGAAGGGTGTACGTACCCGTATATAAGGATGACGATGAGTTAACGAACGAAAAAATAAATATAAATCTAATATCAAAATAATAGAGTAATTAATTGCATCGTCAATATGATTATTTAATTATATAAATTTATATGCAAGAGTGGATGGAAAAAGTTCTGAGCGTTGTGTAAAAACAATTACATTTTGTAATGAATTTTTTTTTGGTTAAAGTTGATGGGTCGAAAAGTTTTGAGACTCAACACAAAAAATCAAAAACAAATTGTTTCTATGAAAAACTCGAAACGTTTCAATTGACTCACGTATTATGTATGGATTTTTCTTACATTTTATTTTATTAACACCCTGTACATATAGTACACGTGCGTGTATGTATATATCTATATAAAAAGATTGGTATCGTATCAATGATTATATTACGTAAGAATGAATCATTAGAATATCTACAAACGGATGGATAATAATTTACTCTTATATAGTTTTTTTGATTTAAAACCAAAATCATCAATGAAAAAATATCGTCCGTCGACCCAATATTAGAAGATGAGTTATTAAAACATTTGAAATTCCTTTGAGATATTTAAACTCGTCATTTACGATATCTCGATAATCGTTCATTGTTTTCGATATAATTCGAGGTTACACACTCATTGATCTTTGGGCATCAGTTCAATTCACTTTTAAAGATTACGACGAATCTCAATGACGATTAAATACAAGAATAAAAATAGTTAGATATATATATTTAATTATTTAATTAAATAAATTATTATACATATTCTTTTGGTTATATAAAAATTGTAATTTAAGAGAAAAAAAAAAACATGACACAATATTACGATCGATTTCTTCCCTTCCGTTTAAACAAATATTTCCCGCGTAAACAGATCGATAAGTTAACCTCAAAAAAAAGAAGAAAAAAAAACAAATTTAATCCTACGGAAAATTTTCTTTTAAAGAAGAAAAATAATTAATTAAGAAAATTAATTAAATTGAAATACACGAATAAATCAATGAACAGTGATTTAAATTTACCAATTCTTCTTAATTTTGATTGGTTAAAAAAAAGGGATGAATAAAATCGATAACGAGGATAAAATGTCTAAGGGTAGTTTAATGCAACTTGACAATTAAAAAACGTTCTTTCTTAATTTCGGTTTAATTTTAAAAAACATCTTTTCTTTTCTCTATATAAATTAAAAAAAAACCTATAAAAATAATTTCTTAGGTGAATTAAAAAACGTACCTGTATCGGTGCTCACGTGGAAACGTAATTTGTCTCCACTGGAAATATGTTTAACATTAAATTGTTCAACAATTCTTGAAGAAACGGTTCCTTTCCCAGAAGCCGGGGCACCAAGTATGACGGCCCTGAAGGCCGCAGCCTTGGATAAACACGTGGATAGCGCTACCATTAAATCTATCCTCTGGTAAAATGTTTTCCTAACTTCGACGTCTTATTACCTTCTCTTCTTATTTCCTACTCACGTTGTTTTATAATAGAGCGTGGTTTGCCTATCGTTCGTTCAAATTCGTTAGGACTCGTGAAAATTCGGTATTTGTCGTAGATAGAACTCGGTGTCTAGTCTTTTAGTTCGTTATCTGTCTTATCATCGTACACTGGTAATGTGGTCGTTTATATTTAGTTAGACCTTACGACATTTCATACATTTTTCACACCTAATAATGAATGATATTAAGATTCTAGGTTCACGTTGTTAACTGCCTGGAGTACGAAACGCAACTAACAAATGACGCAATAGTAGTATAACCATCATTGTATTATCAATGGACTTTAGCTTGATGGTCAAGAGCTTATTTTTAAATGATTACTATTGTTCTTATCATGAATTGATTAGTGGTATAATATTAACATTATTTATACTGTAATTGATTAAATAACCAGTTTTTTTTAAATAGTTACATTACAATTTAATGTAGTAGTTAGGTTCTGGGTCAACAATAATCCTTAGTAAGGGCTTATGTATAAAGTAATCGATTACATAATATAATTTTTCTAATAAACAATTATTTGTAGATAGTAACTAATTGAATAAATATTTATATTGTGGCCAGTCATATAACAAACAGGTTTTTCATAAAAGTAATATTATATATAATAAAATACAGTTAATCAATTGGATACTAACTACTTCACACACTAACCAATTTTATCTAACTAATATTTCAAATAAAAATTGTAGTATTGATAATTGTATAATGTAATAGGTAAAATTACGAAAATTCGATTAATTTATTGACAAAGTAGCACTTTATTCATATGAAAAAGTAATACAACGTTAGGGCCTGTGCCGGGTTTTCTTTTTTTTTTTTTTTTTGAATTTATCAAAAGCGTGTATGTATATATGTAACGAGACAATAATTAAAAGGCCTTATATCCATTAGAACAGAGGTTGTTAGATTTTGGGCCTTATCGAGGCCGTATTTTATTTATTTTATTATATTTCCCCTGCTACAGCGATCGTTACTTTGCAGATTCAATAATTTCAAATTATTTTTAAGAGAATCTCTTCTTGTACTATTTATATTCATGTTTCAATTTATTGTTCCTTATTATTAGAAAAACTAACAAGCAAAGAGAACGAACGCTAGCTAGCAGAGGAAGTAAAATTTGATCTCTCTCACAAAGAGGACTTTCTTTCCAACAGAGACGTTCAAAGTCAGCACGCAGAATCAATTGTCCTGTTTGTATATCTTCACGCTTTATTTTTTTTTTTCTTCTTCTAAATTTAATTATTTTTCTCCCCTTCTATCTTATCGATATGATGTTCAACATTTATTCACTTTCGTTATATTACTCATATTTATAATTAATTATAATATTACAATACACCAAAAAACCAAATGTCAATTAAGAACAATGAAATATAACAATGAATATACAAATTAAATTAATCATTTCTGATTTAATCCGAGAATAATTTTGCACGTCTCTGTTTTTTTTATTTTTTTTTTTATAACATGTGTGTGAACCATGGGCATTCCTTTTTTTTTTATTTTTTTACATTTATTCCATAAACTTTTTCTAGCTTTGTAAATCCCATATTTCGTTTACATATGTCTCATTATTGCAAACTTATTTCTTTAATATATTTATTTATTTTTCATTTTTTTTTTTTTTTTATAAGATTATCCTTCTTACATTCTTTCAAGTACAAACATGTGTACAACATTTTACGAATATAAATTCTTACATCCCCAATAGAGACTCTAGGATTAAAGTTTTGATTTATTTTCTTTTCTTTTTAACTATAGATCAATCACTATGACAAATATAATCTTCTTTCTCAAAATTTATTATTCGCGTCAGGGATTCGGAATTATTTCGAAATCTTGCCACTGAATAAGACTTTACAAATACACACAATACATTTTGAGAGATATTATAGTCAAAATTGTCCCAATTATTTTAAATACACCATCATCATCGTCGTCACCACAACCTCATTATCATTATCATATAAAATAAGTCAATATTACATATTACAACAGCCTTTCTTCATCTTACATTACTCGAGTCTCTATTGTATTTTATCATTCTTAAAATATACATATCTATACATTCTGCGATTGTGTTTTATTATTTGTGTTTGTTTGTTTGTTTCTTTTTTTTTTCTTTTAGATTCTTCTCACTAACGAATCTTCATCAATATTCTTTCTCTTTCTTCTTTTTCATTCACAGTATATTGCCAGTTTGATCAAATGCAATAAAAGCATAATTAGTCTAGTGCTACCTTAAACTATACTTATTTGTGTGTGTTTACTTAATTATTAATTAATCATAGTACATATGTGTTTTCATCTTTAGTCCTATAATTTGTCTTTTTCTTCCCTCCCCCCTCTCTCATTTTCATCATAATAATCGAATTACTTTTAACAATACTTTTCTTTACTAAAGTATCAACGATAAAACTCGAAATATTATCGAGAAACATTTGGTCGATTTTTATATATAAATTATATTTTGAAATAATTAAATATAAATTTAATTCTTTTCGCTTGTTTACGGAAAAAATATTTTTATAATTTATTCGTTAAAAAAAAACGAAGATAAAAATAGATATTTAATAAGATATTATTTTTAGAATACAAATGATAATGAAATCCATAATGCATTTTCTGTGAAAGCAAAAGTAAAAAGTGAAAATGAAATTGATTAAAGTGAAGGCTTTTTGTCAAGTTTTTTTTAAATTCAGCACGTGTGGTTCGTTCGTTAATGTCATTAATTAATCATGTGTTGTTTGGTGTTCTTGTGTGCCATTTATTAATATTATAAATGTTTCAAAATGAATGATTGAGAATCTTCTGGTCTTTTTATTACCAGAGCTCTCCATCCTTTTCTTTCGCTGGAACTTCGATAACTCTAGGCTTGTCGATTATTCGAGCAGTACGATTTCCCTTTTCCACAATACCAATAATCCATGCTTGATATCCTTCTTGTTTTTCTATATCCTTACAGTACGCAGCTGCCTAATTTGAACAAATAAATATTTTGTCAAAATCTTCAAAATAATTTCTTTCAATATAAAGATAAGAAAAAAAAATTCATTTGTAAGAAAATTGACAACACTAAAATGCTTATTAATAGCAAATTAGCATGGGTTTTTCTAGACGTTTATCTACCTGCCTTTCTTTAGAATATTAAATCAAAGATAATACTCTACTGTATTAGCAGGCGTATACAATGATCAAAATGATATACATAAATATATATAAACGTACTTGTTCTCGAGGAAGGCATATAAGAAGCCCACCACTCGTTTCAGCTGAATGTCCTTGTAGTAATTGGAACATATTACCGCAAGCTTTAGCTACTGCTGCCATTTTGGCAATAACAGGTAAATTATGGATAACAAATGAGACTTCGTTTTTCTGATGTTTCGCGAGATTTTGTGCGTGTCCTAAGAGACCGAAGCCTGTAACGTCTGTCGCTCCATGTGCATTATATTTATGCATCAATCTCGCAGCTGCAATTAAATTTCCAAAATATTTTAGACACGCACTTATATAATACGATATTTGACGAAAATATTATTTTCTTTCAACATACCTATTCTATTTAAACGTGCCATACTATCCATCGCTCGTTGATAAGCCTTTCGTACATCATCTTCACTAACAACAAGTTTAATTCTATTCCAACGATCTGGTTGATCTAACCATTGATGTGCATTAACAGCTACTTGTGTACCAAGAGGTTTTGTCAATACAAGTACATCACCAACAACTGCATTATCTGGTCTACATAGATTTTAGATGCTTATTATTAATATTGTACTACTACTACTATCATTTTATCTTTTTACTAAGACCATTCATAATATTCAAAGTATAATCACACCGCAAACGATATTAATTTTGAACATACACAATATATTCGTTTGGTTGACAAACAGTAGAAGCGACACCACCTATCGTACACCAAGGATTAACAACAGTTTGACCACCAGTAACGGTTGTTCCAGCCTCCAGTGCTGAATCTTTAAAACCTCTCATAATTAAAGGAACAACTACATCACGTTCTTTCTCTGTCATTTTTGTGCTGACACCCAATAACATTAACATATTGTCACATTCCGTGACACCCATGGCGTACAAATCACTGATGACATTGGCGCATGCAATCTTTCCTGAAAACATACTCCAATAAAAGTGCTAACAGAAATTGCTAAATAAACATTTACAAAGTTTCAACTAAAATGTCAGAAAGAATACTTAGAAAAATAAATTCAATAATTTGGTTCCATTGTTACTCGTATCGATGCATATATATCTCTTACCCATCATGTAGGGATCATCAACTAGCGGATAAAAAAAGTCTGTTGTTTGTACCAAAGTAAGCCCGCCATGTCTTAAAGGAGTCACTGAGGAATCCATACCAATGCCTGTAACAATTAATACAATTCATTAGAAACAATGTCGTAATTAAAATTAAAATACAATTTAAAAAGAAAAAAAAACAAAAAAAAAACAAAAAAAAAAAACAAAAATTATCAAATTCATTTGTAAGAAATTCGACAGCACTGGAATACCAATTAAAAGCATTTCAGTATGGAAAATTTCTAAATATTTTTCTACCTGCTTTTCTTTAGAATACCCAATAAAATTAAAGTATTCTACTGTATTAGCAGGAATGAAATAAATATTTGTATTTATTAATTAAATAATATTCTTAAAATTATATATTCAAAATCTAATGTTATATTTCATAACGTTAATTATATAGCGCGCCAATAATTCATACGATGAAGTTGAGAACACCTATACTTCCGGAAGCGTGGGAGAAAAGAGGCGGGAGATGGTTGTATTCGCCGCCATATTGAATAGGGATGGAATCGAATGTTTAGTGCCCCTACCCATTCTCTATAATGGAATTTTCCTATCGCGATCGATCCGTTTGTGTATGAATTATCCAAAAACTTTCACGTCGTTTCAAATCAAATTTATCAAGAGTTTTAACTTAATTGCAATATTAAATGTGGAAATATGAAATTTGCATTGAAAAGAAAAACAAATAAGAATCGATAAGATAGAATGTACATAAATATTAGAAATCAAATCAAAGATAGAATTTAATTGCAGAAATAAAATATCATCAAATTATAAAAAAAGAAAAAAAATAGATAAGAAAAAAAAATAAATCATGTATGCATAAAGATATAACTCTTACACAATCACGTTGAGTACTCGTATGTTCAGAAGTACTCTCGCACATTGTGTTCTCTATGAGTAAGTGTGTGAGTGAGTGAGCGCGAACGCGCGCACAGGAGCGTGTGATTAATTACGCATAAGCATAATAACTCACCGATGCGCGGAATGGCCATATGCATAAAGTGGGCATGTTCATGATCCTGTGCGGCATTATCATCTGCCTGTAGTCCCTCTAGGAGTTTTCCAAGAATCTCCTGAGGGACTTTACACCCTCATCCTTTAAGATCGGCAAACCGCGTTAAGCGGAAGGTCGCATCAAGATCATGTGCCACCGGGTCGAATGGCCTGCGCAACGCCAAGGCATTTGGATTACCACCAAGTTCCAGCTGTACGACGGACAGGGCGTCCTGAGCGACTGGGGTTCCCTGTATGTCCGCCATCTTGTACCGAAATCTCGAAAGAAGACGCGATACGGAAAAGATGGAAGTACAAAAAAAGAGAGAAGAGAGAACAACAAATAAAAATTTCTTTTAACCCGATAAAAATTCTATCACGGTTATAAATAGTCGATAATATTAACAATCTTGAAGATGGTCAAATTATTTAAAGGTTCTCACACGCGTTTATAAAGAATAATTCTAATCGTATTTCTCTCCTCGTCTCTCAACGAATCAAAGAAAAGACGAAAACGATGCGACACCGTACGCCGCCGACAGACAGCCACTGCTCGCGATTGACCCTACACCACACGACTATAATACCCCCGCCGTCATGTGAACTCGCATCGAACGTGAATTATACTCTACACCGGCGTCGACTAGCCGGGATCGTACGCGTTAACAAAATGGACGTACCTCCAACGTTCACAAAGCTGAGAGAACGCGCAAGGCCACCGTGAGCCCCCACGATGCCCCTACCATGCCTTTGCCCTTTTTTCATTGGTCCTTTCGAATTAGAGCATGCGCATTACTCACTAATCTCTCAGGTAAGTATCTAGAACATCTTTTCGCCCCAGGAACTAAACTAATCGTCATTCATTTTAACCACCATTCTAGACTGCTATTTCTTTCTTTCCTTCTTACATATGCTTCACTCATCCAAAGTTCTAATGACGCACTGCCGAATCAAAATATATTTTGGAATTTGACGAAACTATTAAAGTATTTTCTTGTCTTGTTTTTTATTTCATTTATTGTAATCAATAAATTATTTTCAATTCTATTCATATGTAATATAAATTACGGATGTTTATAATGCAAAATTATTGTGTTTATATTTCTAAATGCAATTGTTATAATTTTGTAATACAACGATGTTAAAATATTTTTTTATAATTTTCTAGCAATGCATACATATTGATACAGATGTCGATTGAAGACTATACGAAAATACGAAACGTGTAAACGTAAGCTATTCTTATACGCTACCATTGCAGACTCGTATTCAGACATATGAGTAATGCCGGTTAATCGAATATGTCACGGTTTGATAGATTCATAAATTTCTTTATACCAAGTAATTTAAGTACTCTCACATATCCTTTGCCAAAGATATTTATTAGTTTGAATTTTATTCCTACAAATATCACGATACTTTTATTTTTCGTGTACGAATATAACGACAATCACTGCTCCGCCAGTGGTTCTCAATAATAAACATTTCTCAATCATATTGAATCTCGCAGGAACAATATTTAAAATTAACTGAGACATACAAATAATCAATATTAGAATAATTTCGGTTTGACGGATAATAAAAAGAAATTCTGTTTTTGTTTTATTTTATAGTATTTGTTTTATATAACACATTGTATAAATGTAATCAAATATTTGTTTTGTTACTAAACGTATCCTTTATAAAATGATAAAAAGATACGTTTAACTTACTTTAATACGCTTTTAATCATTTTAACACGATTAGGATATTCATTGGCGAACTGTCGTTGGCAGAGTATAGTATGCGGGCGATGGTCGTCTTGGAATGCTGCTCGTTCGCCAAGCGATCGTACAACTCGTCTCTCTTTCCTTCCCTTTTTCTTTCTTTCTTTCTTTCTTTCTTTCTTTCTTTCTTTCTTTCTCTTTCCCTTTCTTTCTTTACAATGTTTCCCGCGCAAAATACTTGATAACACTCTGTTCATGTAGAGTTCCGAGAGTTCCAAGAGTTCTTTATATCACGTCGAAGATTATTCGCGGTCAATCAAATACTCTCAAAAGAAATCTTTTTTTTTCAATTCCATGGTTAAATAAGTTCATTACAAATGATTTATTTCAATCTATTTTATCCGAGAAATAAAAAAAACTAATTTACATTAATGTACGATATTAAAAATAGATTCGTATTTTGATAGTTTAATTTTGTCCTCGGTCGTTCAAACGAAGCAAGTGTACGAGGAAAAACGAAGTTTATCTGATTGTAAAAGTTTCCCATCATTCAGAAATGACTTACTATACTTTTCATTGATATTTCTATTGCATTGCATTGATTTGTGATATTCCAACTCAAATTCGAGTTATATATTTTATGAAGTAAATTAAACGAATAAGAAATAAAATAAAAGGAACATCGAACACTAACGCGACAGCAATAAAGAAAATATGCAAAGCATATTGTACTATCTATACTTACTGTCAGTATGAAGTTTGAAAACTAAATTCATTATTAGGAAATCTATCTTACCGACACGAGGTAAAACCGCCACTAGCGAGATCTTCCGTAGAAAAGAGATACCAACGAGCGATCGATTAGTCGGTAAGTTAGAAATTGTATTCATCAATTTCTTGCACTGTAAAATAATAAATATTTAAAGAGCTTTTATATACATCCATGGATCAACATTATTTTCTTTTTCCATAATTCGAGGTTATAACAACGATGAATAATTTTGAGAGTAAACTATAAATCAAAAAAGGAAAAGATATTAATATCAACTCGGTTTTTACATTTATAATAATAATCCTTGGAAACCATTTCCTTTATCCTTCCTCGAAAGTACCTTGAATCATTCTCCCTACTTTAATGTGATCGTTCTTGTTTCTGTTTGCGTATCGCGAAAGGCAAAGAAGGATAAATCAGTCGACTATTTGCTGCCGTAGCGGCAGCAGTAGTAACAGCTAACGTAGCACCACAGGTAGCCGTATTAACATCAGTAGTAGCAGCAGCAGCAGTAACAGCACAGTAGTAGCAAAGTAGTAAGAATAATAATAGGAAGAAAACATTGGAAGAAAGAGTCCAAGTAGTAACAGTAGTAAGGTAGTGGTGGTGGTGGTGGTGTTATAGTAGTAGTCGCACAGTAGTGTGTAGTGTGTGGTGTGTGTAATGACGGAGTGCTCTCCTAATCGTGTGTTGAGCACGATCGTGCAGTAGAGTGCAGTAGACTGCGAAACGGTGTGCGGGAAAGACTGCATTCTCGCGCGTTTACCTTCCGACCTAGTTTTCGTGCAAGGCTTTCCCGATTTTCGACTGTCTCTCTCTCTCTTTTAACTCTTTTTTATTTATCTATCTATCTATTTATCTTTGTCTCTCTTTCTCTTTCTCCTACAATTAGTCTCTCCATTTGCAACGAGAGACAGATTCCTCGCAAGTACGGCCGGCCTCGCTCACAGTGTTCGTACGGATCGATCGTACTACCAAATGATGTCGCCTTGTTCTTCTCGTTGACAACTTACTCACGTTGTTTCCGTACTTTTAATTATTATTATTATTATTATTATTCCTTGTTGCGCTATAGTTGTTGTGTTGTTAATGTTATCGCGTGTTAGCCAGTTTTCCAAACGATTTCTTCTTACCGATCTCTTACTTTCTTTTCTATTTATTTTATTTAATCAAAGAGATAGACTGATTTAGAGAAAGAGTGAGATAGAGAGATAGGAAAGGATTTTCAATTAAAAGATAAGTTTGTAAAGCAAAAAAATGCAAGACGTTGCTGATAACTCGTCAAAATCTGTACTACTGAATACCTTCGTTGTTAAGAAGAAGAGATGTCGCGTGTATTTTCATCGTGGCACCCTCATCTGGGAAACGGAAAGACCGCCTTATAGTAAGTCCGATACGATACCGAGATTTATTTATTGCGTAGCACACTTATTTCAAGATATATCAAAACAAACGTAGGAAACATATTTTTCCTTAAGTGTTGCTTTCCTTTTGTTTTTTTTTCTTTCACCTCTTTTCAAACTCTTCTTTTTTTGATATTAGGGAACAAACATGTCCGCACTTTTGAATATTTTTCTTTGAATGGATGTTTATTTTTTTTTCTCTTTCTTTTTATACGTTTCTTTTATTATTTTTTGTTTTCGTGTAAATGTTAAACTCTTTTGGTTGACCGTGAAAGTGAAAGATTTATATCACATCTTCTCTTTCATCTGATTTCTTTTTTTTTGTCCTTATATTCAGTGGCAATTAATTACGTCAGTTACGCGTGAAATATTTTTTGCTTGACTCTAAAAACGTAAGGTATTATTCCGTAGTTTTTTCTTTGAAAAGAAACGAAATTTATTTTGGGGAAGAATATTATTTTTGTATATACTTTGTATTCTAATCAATTAATCAATATTTGTAAATCGATATCGGAAATGAAAATTAATTTTTAAAAGAAGGAAGATATAGATAAGATTAATAATATTGAGTAATTGGAAATTTTAGAATTTCGGTTTTTGATTAAAAGATAATTAATTATTTGTTGATTAGATATATCATTTATATTAGTTGGATTAAATGGAAATATTCTATTGTAGATTATATAAAGTACAATTAGATAAATCGTTTTAGAATCGTTCAAATAAAATTAGTTTGCGTTTTGAAGGTTCGCGCTAATACTAACGCGTTCTTGAATGAAAGGAATGGTGGAAGTCGGTCGGTACCGAGAAAATGTCTCACTGCTGTTGCTTGACCTTGCCCTTTCATTTGTATGACACTGTAGGAAGAAGACTACTCTTTTGTAGTATTAGTCAATTCAAATCATAAGTATGGATGTATATACGTATAGTGATGTTATCACTATCGTCATATTGTCGTGTATTTGTTTTCCAAATGTTTTTACAATGATCCTTCGAGATAACAAGATTTTTATTATAATAATCTTTCCAATATAAATGTTTCTATTTATTACGGAAACAATTAGATTAGATAAAAATTACTTATGATTTTCTATCTTAAATCTTAATTTTCATTAATATTCCATTTATTTTGCAATGTTTAAAAAAATAAATTAATATTAGCGCTGTTGTTTCTGAAGAAATATGGCGATTACATTAACCATTTGTTTATTATATTTTTGTAATAACAAATTAAATGACGACTATAAACTCGAGGTTATAGCAATAATTCGTGTCAATATGTTAAATGCGTCGTCTTTCGAATATACAATATATTTTCAATATTTTAATACGATTCCTCAGAGGTTAACTTCCACTTAAGGAAAGTGTCCTCCATCTTGAAACTTTATATTTTTTCCTATAATCAATCGAATAATGATCAATAAATAATGATAATCAAATAAAATGTTATCTTTAGTGATTAAAAATTCTAATACATTATATTATATTACATACCTTATACATTATTATATATATGTATAAATTATTTTATCAACTAATCTTAATATTTATGATGAATCTCCATTACGAATCTTTTCTTCTCACTTGTGAATATTATTTTTACAAGTAACATAACATAATTTTTCCTTTAACTTTTTTTTCATAATTTTCGTTCGGTTATAAATAAATATATTTATTCAATATGGTTCACTCATGTCAGAATAAATATGCGTAGGAAACCTAGCCTTCAAAATCGATCATATTCATACTGACGTTTACATTCGAGAAGAATATTTCATGAGATTATTATCGCTTGTTAACCAATGCTGTTGGATTAAAAAAAAGATTTAAAATGAAAAATGGAAATTTATTAAAAAAAAAAAATGGCAAATGAATAAATTGATTGAAAAATATATTTAAACTAGAGGTGCCCCGCCACGCGTTGCTGTAACTCACAATCAGTCCGATACACGCATCTTTAAGTTAATGAATTACCTTATACCGCCATCTGTTAGAATCTTATCGAACTAACAGAGATAATCATAACTCTTTGTTAATAAACAAATAATTCGCGATTAATAAAATAATATTGCGATTATAAATTGATATATAAACTATCCTATCTTTCAAGTTGGATGAAACTGCGCACAGTGTGCAAAATTTTATTAAAATCGGTTCAGTAGTTTAGGAGTCCATTGCGGACAAACAACGTGACACGTAATTTATATATATTAAGATAATTTATAAATGCATGCATTGTATACATGTACTTATGTATGTATGCGTATAAAAATATAAATTATATATGATTCGTGAGTAGGAGAGATAAAAACAATCGAAGAATATCTGACACTTAGATGGTCCAGTCACGTGGACGTCAAAACATGTGTCGATACGTGCACGAGTAACGTCCTTGAATATTTCGATTTACATATCTTTCTACTTCCTCTTAATCAATAGTATACATACTAACTTATCTACTTTTTTTTTTACGATGTACGCTATCACGTTCAAAAGTTTTCAACCTAACGTAGAAACAATGTTTTATATAGGTCAAACTCATTTTTATTTAAAACAAGAAAGAAAAGAAAAAAAAAATAGAAGTTTTTGTGTCAAGGTTCAATACTTTTCAACCAAACCTTATATTTTCTTTTCTTTTCTTTTTTTTTTTTTTTTTTTTTTTTTTTTTTTAAATAATAGTGTGTACTATGAAAGAAGAAAAACATAGAACAATGTATGAAAAATTGCATAAAGTATATAACATTTAATTAGCTTAATTATAATGAAATTATGGAATAAGATAATAAAACGGTGACACTGAAAAAAAAGGTGTGTCAACATTTTCTTAGAATTATGTTGGGGGTCAAACGTGTGTCTATTTCGTTTAGTATTATCTTCACGCAATGCGGAAATAAATATTGTATATTTACACGAGACTAGCTTACTCATATCAAATCGCGCTGTAATAAAATCGTACGGTGAATGATTGATATGTTGTCTTAAAATCCTTCGAAGAAAAAAAAAAAAAAATAAGGAAATCTTATATATGTTATTATTTCCGAAGTTTCGAAACGGAAATTTTTATTATCATTGATGAGATGTACACAAACGGATTAACAAATTTTATGCGGCCTTCTAAGGTCGTTCACATTTTCTCGGAAATCTTTAACGATTCAAGGTCGTACATTCATTCTATGAGAATTTTATACCTGTCTCTTATATATATAGATATATATGTATATACTACCGTGTAGTTTATAGTGAGAAAAGTTTTAAATTCAAAAGTATAATGTGTGAGTTATAAAAATTAAAATGTGGTGCATAAAAATAATATATAATGAAAAATATCTAAAGTATAATTTTTAGTTAAAAACTGTTTTTATTATTAAAAGGTCTAATTTTTATAATTTTATTGTACACCAATGTAATATTATCTTTATACCTTAAATTCGAGATTTATTATTAAGAAAAAATAAAGTAAATAAAAAATAATACCTTTTTACAGATTTATAGAAGATGTTAAAGTATTAGAGAATATGGTATGTATGTGTGTATAGAAAAGAGAAGGGGCCGAGGTCGTTGGGTGCTTGAAATCGACTGAACTTCCTCTTTTGCGAATATGAAACCTGACATATTGGTTTGATCAATTAATATTCATAAAAAAATATTTCCAATTTCTGTGTGTCTTTTTTTATGTTTTGAATTTTAATGATTTCGAATTTGCGAGTTTATTATTATTGATGTTTATTCAAAAAAGTTAATAAAATTAACTACTTATCAATCTAACTTCAACAAAATTTTAAATTAATTCTCTCTATACGCGGAACAACCATAATTATTTTAATTACATATAATATATATATATATATATGTCAAAGAACGGATAGATATTTGTTTGCAAATATTTTTTCCAAATGAAAAATACAAATGAGTCATTGTAATTTTTAAATGAAATTAAAACCAGTAAAGTTAATGATTTGATATTAATTATATAATTGTGCCCATAATTAATGAAAGTGGTCTAAGTCATATATCTCTTGTTTCGAGATTTTTAAAGATTTATACTTGAACACTATCTCTTTGTGGCATAGAATTTCAGATAATAAAATAGAAGATAATAAAATAGTTGCATGGAAATTTGATTACGTTTTAAATGAAACAAAATTGGTATATTTTTTATTAATAAAAGTATTATATAATGTAATAATGTAAAAACATAAAAAAAGAGTTAATAACTAATTGTTTTGCTTAAATAAGACGAAATATAAACTTAGGAGCATGTGTAGTTATTGCAATAATATTTCGAGGTTGGACTAAAAATATCCCACCGTGTAGTACGGTGTATCAAAAAGGTAGGACACTTTTAATCCCACCGTGCCCCAAAGAGTTATATGAATTCTATACAATATTGAAATAACAAACATTATCTAACGATTCATTTTTGATAAATGTCGGTTTCAAATTACATTGAATTTATTTAGTTTATAATAATGTAGTGCGTAATAACTGATAAACTCATTTTTTATTAATTTTGACTTACATAGACCACTTTCATAATTATCGGCACATATGTAAAAAGATAGGATATATAAGTGTGCACACTTATTTACCTACAATTAGTTTGAAATGGAACGTATGACCCCAGAAGGAAATGGTCGATTCACTGAAGGATATGAAGAGTGAAAGGCTGTCCTATTTTTTTTTCTTTTTCAAGAAAAACTAGTTTAAACGGTCTTTGACGTGTGCTATACATTTATATTACAGTTTTTTACAATATTAAAAGACACGAAAAAGTGATTAAAATATTGCACGAGGATACTGTTGAAAAAAAGAAAAAAAAAAAGAAAAAACAAATTCTATAAAGATTGACGATGTAATTTTCCAATTGAAAATTATTCAAATAACGTTCATTATGAGTTTTCGTTCATGCAAGATGTCCCAAAAATACAACGAACGTGTCGTATAAACTAGACGAATAATAAAAAGCAAAAGAACAAGAAAATAAAGAAAACAAACAAACATATAGAAAAGATAAAAGAAACTAGACACTTGATAATTAAAATTAAGTGTCTATTACTGTTTAAAAAAAGAAGAAAAAATGACATTAGCATGAGAAACAAATTTTCTTATGTAACACGATTGACGTAAATTTTTTTTTATTACTCGCTTAATATATCTTCGTTAAGTTCAATTTGATGGTCGTTAGATGCTTACGAAGATACACAGTAAATGTTGCATCCTTTGTTTTAAGTTTATTATTATTATTATTATTATTATTATTATTATTATTAATTTATTATTTTGTATAAAATTTGTATATAAAAATGTTCGCATTAATTTTCATTTTTGTTTGATACTATAACTAACAATAAGATAGATTTATTTTAATGAGATTGAGACGCTATTGAAAAGCGAATCTTGATCTTACATTTATATTCATAAGTATAACATGACGTTGAGAATATCAATTTGGTTTTGTATTCGCAGCACGAACGAAAAGAATATTTAACGATGGTTATGCCAGTACGCGCATAATTGACAGATGTTAGTGAACCGTAAAACGAGTATGGTAGACCTACATCAACGAGTAATAAATAATGATAAATCGATCGGACATTTTCAATTTGTCCCCCATTGTCAGACTAAATGCATAACCTAAGTGTATATGCATATGCAGCACGTATGCAAATAAATCAATGATATTTCCAATTCGAATTTATTTTTATACCAAAATTATTGATTTTTTGTTCTTTTATATTATTTTATCTTTTTTTTCTCAAAATCCTAACGTTTGATAATAAAATTAATTTATGTATGTTGTACGCACAAATATTCAATTAAATGACTAGTTTTTTCATATTTAAAAATAAAGATTTTTTAAATGACAATTTTTTTATATTAATTTAAACATTACATTTTCTTTTCTTTTAAAAATTAATTATCTAATTTTAGAAATTAAGTTTTTATTAAATATTAAAATAATAATTTGGGGTTTTTATATATGTACTTAGTACTCCACTTAAATTTAATTTCAAGTACCTCACTCAATTAACGTTAAACATACATTTACAACTCGTTTCAATAGGTTAACTTAAGCTATTTATCAAATATATCTTTCTTATCTCTAATATATATATATATATATATATATATATATATATATATATATAT